TATCATAAACATTTGAATCGTGCATTTCTTGTTGACTTGGGTAGCAGTAAGTATTATATATTCATTTTTCATATAGATCAATTTTTTATCACTTTAATATATATATATATATATATATTAAATACATATATATACATATATATATATATATGTGTGTGTATGTTAAATTTTTATTAACATTAAAAATTTATAAATTTTGTAAAAATTTTATACTGTAAAACATTTGTATTTACATAAAAAAAAATTTGTAAAAAATTAATAAAGTATATAAGAATTTAATGAGAATTTTTAATAAAATAAATATTATTACAAACTTTAATTGACTTCTTAGCACATGGAACATTTATTGGTAATCTTCGTTTGGAACCACATAAACCTACACAATTACCAATTGATAGTACATTTCATTTTGGAGCTTCTACTCGGTATTATATCATTAGAGAAAGACCTCAAACAGGTACTAGACCTATTATTGAAGAATTAGAAAAACTATCAGAAGATACAGATGCTGGTGGTTTATTGGGTTTACCTGAAACAGAAACAGAACTTGATGTATGCATTAAAATTTATGTAATTTAGTTTTAAATTATATTATTAAAATATATATCAATATAATATATCATTAATTACAGAATTTAACAGAATTTAATACTGCACATAATAGACGTATATCTATGTTAGGCATTACAGATGATGAAATTCATAAACCAACTAGAAAACGAAAAAAAAAAGGAATTACTTTCAATGATGATGAAGAAGTAATAAATCCGGAAGATGTTGATCCATCAGTTGGAAGATTTCGTAATCTTGTACAAACTACTGTCGTTCCCAGTAAAGTAAGAATTAGTACTCTCATTTATTGTTAAATTTAATATTGATTATATTATTAATTTATTAAATTTATTGTTGATTTATATTTTAGAGAATGCGTATGGAAGGAGGTTTAATATCTCTATCAGAGGATCATAATCCTTTAAAACATCTTCAGCCAATGACAACTACACCTCAGCTTTATCAAGATTTACCACCAGAACAGTTTACTCCATCGTCGTTATCTCTTAATCCATTTTCTAGTGCATTATCTTCACTATCGTCTCGACTTGGTATTGCGTTACCAAATCCAGCACCTGAGGTAGAAATGACACCGAATCAAATACAAACAGAAACACCACACATACCTGAAATACCAGGACCTACTGATACACGAACAATGGAACCAAAAAAGAAAAAATACGCCAAAGAAGCTTGGCCTGGCAAAAAACCCATTCCAACACTTTTGGTGTAATAGTATTAAGGAACTTATTTTTATTAGACAGTTCTTTATTATTTGAAATTTAGAAAATTAAGTTATATAAGAATCTGTGCATAAATTACTCGTATAATAAATTACTTTAAGATTTTAGTTAATATTAAGTAACTGTTTACTAATATTAGTATCTTCTTATTAACTATATTACTATCTTTTGAAACTATCATTAAATTTATTTTAAGAGAAACCGACTATAATTGTATTTAAATAGTAATTTGTTTTTCATTTATATATATTATCAATTTAAATTTAAATATTTATTATACTTTTCCAAGGAGATGAAAATTGTAATTAAAATTTCTTGTAAGATAAACATAAATAAATAGAGTTTTATCTTGTTTTAACATTAAAAAACATAAATGTAATATTAAGGATATATTACAAAAACTTTCTTGTGATACAATATTTTGTCACTAAAAAAAAATATCTTTGTTAATATAATCGGAAAAGTTTATTTCATTTATATGTAATAATCTATTATATTTATTTTTCATTATTTTTTTTATTTAAGTAAAAATATGATAATTTATATATGATAATTTATTAGTTAAGTATATTCTATTACTTGTCTTGAGAAAGTAGTAAATAATAATAATAAATAGTAATCGTTCTTCGTATATTTAATATAATTATATTGATTAATTTTAAAAGATTAAAATTCTTAATTAATTAAATTTTTATTATTTAAAAATTAAAGAATATTTTATAATTTTATACATTTTATTATCCAAGTTGGTATTTTAGTGAATAAAAATTTTTCTATAATATATTAAAGATTATTCAAAGATTCAAGGGAAGAAAAATTAAAGTTTCTGTTTATTTTATCAATATATAATTTTATAAATTCTATAAAAAAATAATTTTATTAAAAAAGTAAAAATAAATAAACAAATCACAAGACATAAGAAGCATAGTATAAAATAGCAGTTTTTCTTTTATACACAATTAATTTAATTATGTATAAATTTTTTTTGTTGGGCAGCTGGAAAATGCCAAAATACTTATACGAATTGCATTTTTGTTTGTTAATATTCTAATGAAGCATCTGGTGTAGTTGACGATTCGAGTGCAACTTCTTCATAATCTCTTTCCAATGCAGCAAGATCATCTCGCGCTTCTGCAAATTCACCTTCTTCCATACCTTCTCCAACATACCAATGGACAAACGCTCGTTTGTGATACATAAGATCGAATTTGTAATTTAATTTAGACCAAGCTTCCTCGATAGCAGTTGTATTTGATAACATTGAAACTGCCCTTTGTACCTATACCATATTAATTATTATATAACTTTTACGTACACTTGAATTTTAATGTTCTAACTATAATACGTAGAAACAATGTTATGAAATATTAAATTTTATTGTTATTATTTAATTGCTGTTGACGGTGACATATTTACATAATAATTAATACCTTGGCAAGGTCTCCGCCAGGAACAACGGTAGGGGGTTGATAATTGATACCGACTTTAAAACCAGTTGGACACCAATCAACGAAACGTATGCAACTTTTTCTCTTCATTGCGGCAATCGCAGCATTCACATCCTTTGGTACGACCTCGCCACGATAAAGTAAACAACAGGCCATGTATTTTCCTTCACGAGGATCACACTTGACCATTTGATTAGACGCTTCGAAACATTCAGATGTTATCTCCGCAACAGACATTCCTTCGTGGAAGGCTTTATCAGCCGATACCACAGGGGCATAAGTTGCCAATGGAAAATGAATTCTAGGATATGGTACCAAATTTGTTTGAAATTCCGTCAGATCTACATTCAGAGCACCATCGAATCTCAAGGAAGCAGTTATCGAAGATACCACTTGACTAATAAGACGATTCAGATTCGCATAAGAAGGTCGTTCAATGCCAAGTTTTCGCCTACAGATATCATAAATCGCTTCGTTGTCTACCATAAACGCACAATCCGAATGTCCGATCGTGGTATGAGTAGTAAGGATAGCATTGTATGGTTCGACAACTGCGGTAGATACCTAAATATTGTTTTTATTTATGGGAATATATATATATATGAATTATGTATGTAGTTCTGTATAAAACAATTATATGTATTATATATATATATAATATAAAATATATATATAATATAAAAAATATATATATATATATATAAAAGACAAAAAAAAGTAAAAATAAAAATAAAAACAGAAACATCTGTTGGTTAGTTATATGCTTGCTTCACAATTTTCATACTTGTGGTGCTGGATATACAGCAAATTCTAATTTGCTCTTTTTTCCGTAATCATCGGACAATTTTTGCATAAGCAACGAGGTGAATCCTGAGCCTGTACCTCCTCCAAATGAATGAAAGACAAAGAATCCTTGAAGTCCAGTACACTGATCCGTCAATCTTCTCACCCGATCCATTACAGAATCTATTACTTCCCTACCAATAGAATAATGACCGCGAGCATAATTGTTCGCAGCGTCTTCTTTTCCTGTGATTAATTGCTCAGGATGGTATAATTGTTTGTAACGTCCTATTCTTACTTCATCTATAGAAAATTTTATCATATTCATAATTCTGAACATCACTTAGCTGTATAATGTTTCAAAAGATTTTACGATTTGCAATAAGATTTCTTTTTTATGAAAATTAAACTAACCAACGACTGTGGGTTCTAAGTCAACCATCACAGCACGCGGTACCATTTTTCCAGAACTTGTTTCATTAAAAAATGTGTTAAAACAATCATTTGTTCCGGATACTTTGTCTGATGGTATTGTCCCATCCGGTTGAATTCCATGTTCGAGACAATACAATTCCCAACATGCGTTGCCCATTTGAACACCTGCTTGGCCCACGTGCATTGAAATACACTCACGCTAAAATTTATAATTTTTTTTATCGATTGACAATTAAATAAAAATAGATCTTCGGTCAATTTGTCATATTATAAGATATAGAAAATTTATATATTATACATTATTAAAAAAGATATAAAAACATGTTTATATATAATAGTGGACTATGAATTTCATTTAAATATGTCATACCATTTTGATTATTTTTTAATAACACGTATCTTGAAATATTATTTTAGATTTTTTTAAATTGTTGAACCGAAAAAAAATTAAAAATTTTTATTAATTACAAGAAATTTTGGAAATCGGCCATCCGCTACCCAAGAAAAATACTGTGAATATAATTTATTTTAGTTGTCTGGACAACGAAACCATATAATGAAATAAAATAAAAAAAAAAAAAGAAAGTTGAAAATATCATACATATACTTTGTTTGATTTTTCATCAAATAAAATATTGATAAAGTATATTGTACATGTATATAAAAATATAAATTATATAAAAATATATATTATGTTACATTAGTTATATTAGTTTATATTTTATAATAAATATATTTATTTATATAATGTAAAATTTATAAAACTTTCATAATTTTTAATAAAATATATATAATCAGCATATTTTAATATATTTTTTTAAAATTTATTTTCGTTATATGTTAATTTTAAAATTTATTTTCATTATATATTAATGAATAAAACAAAAAATATGTATTATTTTTTTCTGTTTTATTTGCATTATTACGATTTTTAAAAATAGATAGCTAAAGATAACTTGTTAATATTTAGGACAAGTTAATAACCTTGATTTTTTGTTACATTTTCATTTCTTATAGATAAATATTGTGTAATAATTCTTTATCTAAAAAGACTTATGTAATCATATTTAATCGATCGTGTGCATGTTTGTGCACGTGTCATGATTTGTCTTGTAATCATCTTTTAATAGGTTTCTTAGTACTTTGTATCGTAACAGGAAATCCTACCAATCGGTTAAGAGAATCTGAATTGTTATTTGTGACTGTTTGATGATGACGTAAAGAATTACTCTTGAATGTAATGCGTTAGAATGACTTGTTGTCTACTAAACAATTTTTAAGTGCGGCATGATTTGTTCTTATACGAATAGCTATAATATGTGTAATACAATTGATCATGGATACTAGTAAGAAACATAATAATCCAAATCCAAAATTATCGGCGAATTTTTTTAGTAAATTAGTATTTTGGTAAGTTTTTCATATTCATAATTATTTTATTCATAATTTATTTATTTACATAATTTATTATTTATACTTTTCTAAAAACTAACTATTTTATTATTACATTTAAGGTGGTTAAAACCCCTATTTTGGTATGGAAGAAATCATGATCTTGAACTTAAAGATATTTATAATGTTATGCCAAATGATGTTAGCCAACATCTTGGAGATAAACTTGAAAGGTAAATATTAGTATATTTTATATGAGATTAATGAGTAAAGATGTTCAAATAAATTCAAATAAATTGTGTTCAAACAATTTATGTTCAAATAAATTTATATCATAAAATATATTTACATTATCTTCATGTTTAGAAATTGGATTAAAGAGATAAAATTAGCAGAGGAAACTAATAAAAAGCCTAAATTTTTTAATGCTTTAAAAAAGACATTCGCATGGTCATTTGCTTATTATGGAGGATGGCAATTTTTTTTAGCAGTTATTTTAAGGTAAATAAAAAATTTCTTATGTTATTGTGTTATTATGTTATTATTGTTATGTTATTAATTTGTTATGTATGTTATGTTTTGTAATTTTTTATTATAAATAATATTATAATAATATTCATAATTTATTCATAATTAATTATTCATAATTAATTTCAGAGTTTTACAACCATATGTATTAGGTTTTCTTATTTGGTACTTCGATCCTAGAGCAACATCTACTGCCACTGAGGCATACATTTATGCTTCATCTGTTGTACTTATATCCTTACTTGGAGCTTTAATTAATCATCACTCTATGTTAGGTTTAATGGAAGTGGGAATGAGAATGAGAGTAGCATGTTCTTCTTTAATATATAGAAAGGTGAAACAAATGATCATTTAAAAATTTATATATATTCAAATATTTGAAATAGATTTTAATTTCAGATTTTGCGTTTATCAAAATCTTCTACCAATATTACTACTCCAGGACAAATTATAAATTTACTCTCAAATGATGTAGCAAGATTTGAACAATTGTTTATAGCAGTACATTATATTTGGATATTACCGATTCAAGGTGCTCTAATTACTTTCATGATATGGAAGAGTGTAGGAATTGCATCTTTAGCTGGAGTTTTTCTTATAAGTATTCAAACTATACCTCTTCAAGGTATGTATATTATTACAATGAATATAATAAGTTTTCTTTTAAAACTTTCTATAGTATATTTAATTAAAAAAAAAAATGCTAATTGTAATTTTATTTTAGGATATATGGGAAAATGGATATCAAAATTGAGATTAAAAATTGCAATTAGAACAGATGAAAGAGTACGATTAATGTCAGAAATAATTGCTGGAATTCAAGTTATAAAAATGTATACTTGGGAAAAACCATTTGAGAATTTTGTTAGTCTTATCAGAAGGTTCTTTTCTATGTTTTATCATATTATACAAATATTATCTATTACTAATTTTACTTAAATACATAATTACTTTTTAGTTATGAGATAGACATCTTGACGCTTACATCGTACTTACGAGGTTTTACTTTAGCTACATTTGTATTTACCGAACGTACCACATTATATTTTACAATTATGGCATATGTACTTCTTGGAAATAGTATATCTGCTGATAAAGTATTTTCAATGGCTCAGTACTTCAATATTCTTCAACTTACTATGGCAATATTATATCCTATGGCTGTATCAGCAGTAGCAGAGGCTTCTGTATCTATTAAAAGACTTGAGGTGAGCTAATTATCATTCTTTATTCCATGTAAATTTTTTGTAGTTTATGGCATATAAACATATATAAACACATATGCAAACATTTTAATATTTTTTTAGAATTTTCTTTTATTGAAAGAAAATAATAACATAATTTATTCACAACAAGCTAATGGAGATGGTAATATTATAATGAAAAATATTACAGCATCATGGACAGAAAATACAATAGCAAATACTTTGCATGATATTAATGTTGAAATAGAATCTGGTAAACTTTATGCTATTGTTGGTTCAGTTGGTGCAGGAAAGGTGATATATTAAAAAATAATATTGTTATTTCTAATATCAAATAATCTTAATTACATAATAATTTCATTTACATTTTCAGAGTTCATTTCTTCAATTAATTTTAAGAGAACTACAACAATCACAAGGAGAAATACGAATAAATGGTACTGTATCTTATGTTAGTCAAGAAGCATGGTTATTTTCGGGTACAGTGCGTAACAATATACTTTTTGGACAGTCTTATGATAAAGAAAAATATAATGAAGTTATTAAGGTATGTGCTCTTATTAAAGATTTTCAACAGTTTAATTATGGAGATAGAACTTTAGTTGGAGATAGAGGTGCAGCACTCAGTGGTGGACAACGAGCAAGAATTAATTTAGCAAGGTGCATATTGATAAAAAAATAAATTATTTTATTAAATTATTTTTTTATATATATTTAAAAAATTATATATATGATTGTTATAATAGGGCTGTATATAGAAATGCAGATATTTATTTATTAGATGATCCATTATCAGCAGTTGATACTCATGTAGGAAAACATTTATTTAATGAATGTATAAAACACTATCTTCGAAATAAAACAAGAATTCTTGTAACTCATCAAATACAATATTTAAAAGATTGCGATTATATTATTTTATTAAATAATGTAAGTAATAATAATTATCATTATACTATCATGTTAATATTATTAATGTAATGTTTATTATAGGGTAAAATCGAATATGAAGGTACATTTACAGAACTTCAAAGCAAACGTATAGATTTTTTAAGAATGCTTTCAACAGAAGAAAATAAAGAAAATTCAGAAAGTATGGAAATTGATGAAAGTACTACATTTGATACATCTATTAATTATAACAATAGTAAAGATGATGAAGAAATGGAGCCAAAAGAAACTGAAGAATTAATGGCTAAAGGAAATGTTTCTAAATCTCTTTATTGGAAATATTTTCGAGCTGGGGGTTCTATTCTAATGATTCTAACTTTTATATGGTCTCTAGTCTTGGGACAAATAGGAAGTAGTGGTTGCGATTATTGGGTTGCTTATTGGTTAGTATTTATTGGTTCTTTGTTTCTAAATTTCATTCATAATGAAATTTATTTTATATATTACAAAAATTGTTATTTTTCTTTTTTTAGGACAAAAAAAGAGGAAATGCACATTAAATATTATATTAATAATAATTATACACTACAAATATTGAAACAAAATCTCACAACTTCATTTGATGGAGATATAGATAAATTAATGAACAAGACATTTTTATTTGAAATAGATAATTTTAATGATACAATTTCAAACTTTTCAACATTAGAAAATAACAGTTTTGATAATTCTGTTAGTATTTTTATTATGGTTTATTTTAATTTAAAAAATAATAGCTATTTTTCTTTTATTATTTTATATAGGCATGGAATATTAACGCAACTCCTAAAGATTTAAGTTATCTTGATCGTGATACTGCTTTGTGGATTTATGGAAGTTTCATCATTACAAGTATACTGTTGACATCTATAAGAAATATCGTATTTTATAAAATATGTATGAATGCCAGTAAAAATCTTCATAATCTCATGTTTTCATGTTTATTAAAAGCGCCAATGCTATTTTTTGATACACATCCTTCTGGTAAATGTATCAAATAAGAATATATAATTTAATTATTATTATATAATATCTTAATAAAAAAAAATATCATAATCTTAAATTTTAGGTCGCATTCTAAATCGTTTTTCAAAAGATGTTGGATCGGTAGATGAAATTTTACCGAGAACAATGATAGAATCTATTCAAATATTTGCAGTAATGGTTGGAATTTTAGGACAAGTTCTTATTATTAATTGGTGGACAATATTTCCTATGTTTATTATGGGTTTCTTATATTGGAAAATACGAAATATTTATCTTAATACTGCACAAAATATGAAACGTTTTGAAGGAATTAGTAAGTTCATTTTATAATTTACATTTAAAAAATTTATTAGATAATTTAATTTATATATAAGAAAGGTTTAATCAATATGATATTATTAATAATTTTTTTTTATAAAATTTTAGCAAAAAGTCCAGTTTTTTCCCATGTAAGTTCTTCATTATTAGGATTAACAACAATTCGTTCTGCTTGCGCACAAAACATGGTTCGTAAGGAATTTGATGTTCATCAAGATCTTCATACTAGTGCTTATTATTTGACTATAACAACAAGTACTGCTTTTGGATTTGCATTAGATATCGTCTCTATTTGTTTCATTGCTTTTATTACATATAGTTTCATTGTACTTGATGATGGTAATTTTTTTAATTTATATATTATCAAAAAAAATAGTATTATGTAGCTAAAAAATATATTTATATATTTTTAGGAAATACATTTGCGGGAAATGTAGGATTAGCCATATCTCAAGTATTAATCTTATGTGGAATGCTTCAGCATGGAATGCGTCAAACTGCAGAAACGATAGCACAAATGACAAGTGTAGAACGAATTCTACAATTTACACAACTCGATAAAGAAGGACCATTTGAAAGTGAACCTAATAAAAAACCATCTGCACAATGGCCTTTTAAAGGAGAAATTAATTTTGATCATTTGTACTTACGTTATGAAGACTCAGCACCACCAGTTCTTAAAGATTTATGTTTTACTATTAAACCTGGTGAAAAAGTAATTTATTTATAAAAGTTATAAAAAAAATTATATTATTAAAGAAAATCACTTTAAAACTAATATTAAATTTTATGTTTTTAGATAGGAATAGTTGGTCGTACTGGTGCTGGTAAAACATCGCTAATATCAGCTTTGTTTCGCTTAGCTAAACTCGAAGGTTCTATTTATATAGATAAGTTAGATACAAAGCAAATAGGTCTTCATGAATTACGAAAAAAAATTTCAATTATTCCACAAGAGCCTGTATTATTCTCAGCAACGCTTCGCGATAATCTCGATCCTTTTCATAATTTTGATGATACTACTCTTTGGTCTGCTCTCGAAGATGTAGAATTAAAAACGAGTATTTCTTCTTTAGATTATAATGTTGAACAAGGAGGAGCTAATTTTAGTGTTGGACAAAGACAATTACTTTGTTTAGCACGTGCAATTTTAAGAAATAATAAGATTCTACTTCTTGATGAAGCTACAGCTAATGTTGATCCAACGACAGATGCTTTAATACAAAAAACTATTCGACGAAAATTTAAAGATTGTACAGTATTAACCATAGCACATAGATTAAATACTATAATGGATAATAATAAAGTACTAGTTATAGATCATGGAATGGCAATTGAGTTTGATCATCCATACATTCTACTTAAAAATGAAGAAAATCATTTTACTAGAATGGTCAAAGAAACTGGAAAAGTAATGTTTGAACAACTTAAAAAAATTGCAAAAGAGGTATGCTGAATTTGTTTGTTTGTAATATCTATTATAACAATTTGTTAATATTTTAATATATTTTTATTAAATTTTAGGCTTATGATGATGTAATCACTGATACAACATTACAATCATCATCACAAGTTATAGATAATGATGATAATTAGATTTTTAATAAATACCAATATTGTTCCTATTTAAATAATTCTTTATTTTATATATATAATGATATTTTCTGCAATCAAAACTTTATAAGTTAAATTGTATATAATATTTTTATGTACTTTTTTAAATTGTAATATTTTTATATACCATTTATAATACAATTTCTTAAATTCTATTTAATGTAAAAATATTGAGCACATACATTGAAAATATTAATAAGTAAAAATATTATCTATTATATAAAAATATTTTTGATATCATTTAAATATTTTATAATAAAAAATATATTTTCTGTATCATTTTATAAAACCAAAATAAAAATATATATAAATATATATTGTATATGTTCAAAAAGATTCCTATGTATTAAATATATTATATAAATGTGTAATTGTAATTATTTTTTAATAAACTATGTATATTATATATTAATATATTAAATGTACATTATATCAAACCAATTTTCAATTTATTATATAATGAGTAAATTTATTCTAAAAATACATAATTTTTTTTTACATTTTAATAATAAAATTTCATTATTAAATTAATTGAACAGAACCATTTTTAACTAAATCTGATACAGCATTATATTGTATAATATGTTGAGAACCTGATTCAAAATCTATCTCTTCATCCATTGAACCAGGAAGTATAATTCCATTAATCCTATTATTAGCCCTTAAAAATACATATGCTTTCATGTTAGGTTTTATAGTTAATTTATTAACTTCAAATGTCTGAAAATTTCCAGGCATATGTTGCAGAGCAATTGTTCTAAAAAGTGTTTCCATATTTGCAAGAAATTCTTTTGCAAATTGAAGTTCTGCAACCGTTAAATAACATTCTTCAGAAGATCTATTTGCTTCTTCAGAAAGTATATGAATAGTATATTTTTCAATTTTCTCTAATCGAGCTCTAAGATAACTAGATATCAAAAATCTAATCCTATCTAATTCCATTCTATGAATCATTAATCTTAAATCTCCTTTATCTAACCTCTTCATATTTTCTTCCATATGTGTAATTTGTTGTAGCATACAATCAACTAAATCAGACCGATGTGGTAAAATTTCAGGAGCAAATTTTTCATTTAACCAGGCTTCTTCTATAGCTAATAAAACACTCTGAGCTGTTAATTCTTCTTCTTCTTCTTGATCACTATTCTCTATTGTCAATTGTGCTTCTGAATCTTCCATATTTTATATCTTTTACAAAAAACAGTACGACGACAATAATAAATATAAACTATTATTATGTGAATTCGTATTTTAACAGTTTTCAATAGCTTAATGCTACGATATCGGTTAATCAAAAAATAATATATAAGAAATCAAAATCATTCCGTTATTATTTGAAATTATATCACGTGTCATATGATTGAATTCGATATTTCTCGTTATTTAACTTTAAACCGCGAATAAAATAAGCTTTTAAATTTGAATAAAGATTATTTATTAAAGATTATAATTTTCATTTTTTTATATTAAAGAAAGATATTTTATAATTACATACATATTATTTAATAATTACATAATTATAACTTATAACATATATGTAATATAAATATAACTTATAATTATAAATGACAATTTAAATGAAAATATTGATAAGAAAATCAAATAAAATTTAATAAAATTGAATAAAATAAAATAATAAAAAATAATAATATTTCTTCTAATATATATGAATAAAATGAATATTAATACAGAATTATGATTTAAAATAAAATTTAAAATAAATATGAAAAGATAAGAAGAATATCAAAGGATAATTATGATTTAAATTAAAATGTGAAAAAAATAGAAAAGGATATGAGAAAAAAATTATTAAAAGATAAAATAATTCTTCGTGTTTTACAATTTTTAGTTCATATTCTATTACTATTTTAATTTTATAAGGTTTCTGTTTCGATACTAAAAACACGTCAAGGTATTCTTAAATCCTCGTTAACTTAATAAAATCCTTCTTAAGACTTTAACATTCTAAGACCGTCTTAGGTTAGTAAGAATTTATAGAAAACAAGACGATTGGATTGGGTACATATGGTAGAGTCAAAGCATAAGATCGGTTCATATTTAAACGGACGTGAAACAGTTAAAACGAGCCGCATCCAACAGTGGACCTAACAGCCTTCCTATATCCTTCTGTTAAATTTAAATAACCCCGTGACCATTTCAAACCAAACTTACAGGACGTGTAGCTACTTGGATTAGTTCGTATTATTACGATTTTCTCCAAATAGACGAAGGTAAGAAAAAAATGATAATGTTTCATTCATTTCAAGTGTACTCTGGAAATTAATATATTAAAAATCATAATTTTACTAATTATACTATCTCTGATGATGTTTCAATTTACTTACAGTGATGTTTTATACATTGTAGAAAATTTTTTTATTTCGAATTATTAACTCGAACAACTTGTTTTGTTAAAATTAAACGATAAAAAAATATAGAATAAAATCTCAAACAAATTTTTGAAAATATAGGCTCAAAAATGATTGCTGTTTCGGGACCAAGTTATGAAGCTTTCTCTTATGGTGGCCAATCCAAATTCAATAATCAAACTGTGGTTGACAAAGTTCCACCTGATATGCTTCATCTGATTGATATTAATTGGTATCAATACCCACCATTAAATCCTATGTGGCATGGAATTCTTGGATTCGTAATAGGCGTACTTGGTTTTATCTCAGTTATGGGAAATGGAATGGTCGTCTATATATTTCTTTCAACAAAAAGTCTTCGCACGCCAAGCAATTTGTTCGTAATCAACCTTGCCATCAGTGATTTCCTTATGATGTTTTGCATGTCTCCACCTATGGTGCGTAAAATAATTCTGAGCTATCAAAATAATTTCAATCAATTGTAGAAATTATAGTCTTATTAAAAATATTGTCACAATTCAAAAATATGAAATAAAATTCAATGAAATTCGTTGCTTGATAGGTAATCAATTGTTATTACGAGACATGGGTACTCGGACCTCTTTTCTGTCAAATCTATGCGATGTTGGGCTCCTTGTTCGGATGTGGCTCCATTTGGACAATGACGATGATCGCATTCGATAGATATAACGTAATCGTGAAAGGTTTATCTGGTAAACCGCTGTCCATTAATGGAGCTCTCCTTCGTATAGTAGCTATATGGTTGTTCTCTCTCCTATGGACTATTGCACCTATGTTTGGCTGGAATCGGTAAATTTTGTCTCTTGATCGCGATTACATATATTTTAAATATTTTTCATATATATTTATTGATTAGAAATAACAAAATTTGCTCATATTCTTTCTTAGATATGTACCTGAAGGTAATATGACCGCTTGCGGCACCGATTACTTTAACAGAGGATTATTATCTGCTTCTTATCTTGTCTGCTACGGCATTTGGGTTTACTTCGTCCCTCTGTTCCTTATCATTTATAGTTATTGGTTTATCATTAAAGCGGTAGCTGCCCATGAGAAGAATATGCGCGAACAAGCAAAAAAGATGAATGTTGCTTCTCTCCGATCATCTGAAAATCAAAATACAAGTGCCGAATGTAAATTGGCCAAAGTATGATCCTATATGATTTTATATTTTTTTATCCTCATCTTATCAAACTTTTTACATAATATAATAAAACATTTTATAACTTTAGGTTGCTCTTATGACAATCTCTTTATGGTTTATGGCTTGGACTCCGTATCTCGTCATTAATTTTTCGGGCATATTCAATCTTGTTAAAATCAGCCCACTTTTTACCATCTGGGGTTCTCTCTTTGCCAAAGCCAATGCAGTTTACAATCCGATCGTTTATGGAATTAGGTAATTATATTTACATGAATTTAAATAAATTGAAAATGAATTAAATTTTATTCTTTTTTTTTTAACATTCTTTTTTCAGTCATCCGAAATATCGAGCTGCGCTGTTTACGAAATTCCCATCATTGGCATGCGCTGCTGAATCAACTACAGACGCTGTATCTACAACTTCCGGTACAACTACTGTTACAGATAGCGAAAAATCTAATGCGTAAAATAATAAACCACAAAATTTTTTTTTTCAAATCGTAACGTAAAAAATTCAACAATTAATGAGTATGGATTAAAACATATTTGACTAAGAGTCAAATATTAAATAATTTAATTTACTACAGACACGATTTGTAAACATAAAAAAACACACGTCTGATATAATATTAATTTTTTTTTCTATGAAAAAAATATTCGATTAATTAATATTTGAAATTAAAGCAATTGATTGTGTTCAAAAATTCGAAATTATAGCCTAGCAAGGAGTATATATCTATATTCGACGAAGAACAATTTCAGTATATGAAATTTTATTACACGATAAAATAAATAACATTTTTATCACCTGTGATTGAATATATGATTCGCATTTCACCACAATGCAAATCATTAATATTTACATAGGTATGATTTTGCGTAATTAATTTATTGTGTATCGATATATACATGGTCACTTTGGTATAGCAGCTCTACTAGATTAGTAAGCACATCACATTGCAAATAAAATATGAAGAGAGCATCCTAATATCTTAATTTTATAAAACCAAATAAATTCTGCAAGCAATTGAATTTTAGTATAATTATTTCCTGCAAACACTTTCTCCTTACAATCAATTTTCAAATGATATTCAATTTACAAAAAATTCAATTTTTTTTTTATTTATAATAAAAATTTATTATAAGTTTTTTTAATTTTCCGAAGCTTTGTCTCCTGCAGTTGCAGTTTGATCTTCTGTCGAGCCGCATACTAAGAAGGGTAGTTTTTCTTTCAATGCAGCTCTATATTTTGGATGACTGTATATAAAATATAAAACAATATTATTATTTTCAATTAAGACAATAAAATTAAAATACTTATACAAACCTAATTCCATAAACAATCGGATTATATATTGCATTCGCTTTTGCAAAGAGGGAACCCCATATTGTGAAAAGAGGTGTGATAAGAGATCGATTAAAAATTCCAATATAATTAATCACAAGATATGGTGTCCATGCCATAAACCATAATGATATTGTTGTTAGCGCTACCTGTAAAATATAATATATATATATATATATATATATATCATAAAAATATAATATATATATATTCATATATAATAGTTTAAATTATTTATGTATATAAAGTTTATTCATATTTTATTCATCATATCCTATTTAAATTAATAAATATTCTTGAATATTTTTAAAAATATAATACCTTTGCTAATTTCGCTTCAGCGCTAGTGTTTTGATTATCTCCAGATCGTAAAGAAACGACATTCATTTTTTTTGCTTGTTCTTTCATTGCTTTTTCATGAGCCGCAACAGTCTATAAATGGTGACGTATATAATTAATTATAATTATAATTATAAATTAATTATAAATATATTAAAATATAAATTAAAATATAAATTAAAAATGTTTAATTCCAATACATTTACCGAAACGATAAAATAATAACTGTAAATAATAGTGAATAATGGAGTATAATATACGAAAAAAGAATAAACTAATATATATGATTTGGAAGTCCAATCTTGAGTAAGATAATCTGTTCCACATGCTGTCATATTACCTTCCGGAACGTATCTAATTTATAAATACAATATGATAATTATTAAAGATATTTATTATTTCTTATTTAACAATAGGAGAATACATTTTTAAAATTAAAATATTACCTATTCCATCCTACTAAAGGTAAAATTGTCCATATTAAACCAAAAAGCCAAATACCTAAAATTTGAAGCATAGCTCTTTTGATAGTAAGAGGTGTTCCAGACATACCCTAAAAATTTTTTTATTATATTATTTTTATGATGTTAGTGTATCTATTTATATATAAATATATATGTATATATACTTTTACTATAACATTATATCTATCTAAAGCAATAGCTGTCATAGTCCATATAGAAGCACATCCACATAATGATCCAACCATTGCATAAATATCACACATTAAACTACCTAAATAAAAATTATTTTAATGTAAAATTTTGCAAAAAAGACAAATATTTTTAAAATTATAAATAATAAATATATTTATTTTTTCTTACCAAGAACCCATGTTTCATAAAAACAACAAATTACCATAGGGGGACACATAAAACCCATCATAATAAAATCAGAGAAAGCAAGATTTACTATAAGAAGATTACTTGGTGTTCTTAGAGATGGTGTCATTATAAATATATAAACCACTACACCATTTCCACACCATCCCATAATACCTAATATAATCATAACTAAACCTAAGATTTTATGCCATAATGGATCCAATGGTGGAAATTGATACCTTTTAAAATATAATAATACAATATAAACATTAATACACAAATTTTTTTTTTATTATAAAAAATAAATTACCAATATAAATCAATTAAATGTAACATCTCTTCAGGTACTTTACTAACAACTGTTTGATTATTAAAATGCATTAATTGTCTTGCAAATTGTGGTCCTGTAGTAGTTAGGGTAGAGATGTTTGAAGGTATAACTTCAGTAAAAAAAGAAGTTGTTATATTTAATGTATCCATTATTTACTAAATTTACAAATAAAATTTAAAACTACACAGAAACTACTAGAGAAAACTACACATTCCCCTTTTACACTTAACTGTTCATATCTTACTATAATTATGAATGCATTAGTCTTCTTTTATATCTTCAGTAAAATAAAATCCAATAAAGTCATCCAATAAAATATTCAAATAAATTTACATATAGTCCCAATAATGCATTTGTATTATTATTATATAAGTTTTAGAGTAATATGACATGAGTACTGTCATTTTAAATTTAAAATAATCTAGTCAAAGTGAAACTTTATATATGCTTTTGAATTTAAGTTAAAATGATCAATATAGATTCATATTTAAATCATATGATGTATTATTTTAATGTACAATTTAAAATAATTTAAAAGTATTTTATAATATCTATATACTTTATTGCATAAAATTTAATTACATTACATATATAGTATTATCATTTTATGACTCTTGAAAGTCTACGAATATGTTGACTGTACCCTTCTTGTACAGCTTCTTCTAATTGTTGTGTTATATATGATAAATTAATAGGATCAGTTTGAAGTAATATATGTTCAATATTTTCATCCTTATCAGAATTTTTTATAGATAAATCCAAAGTAATAAGTGGAGCAACTTGCTTTAATAATGCTCTTGATGCAATCTATAAAAAATATATTGTATATAAAATATAAAAATTTAATATATTAAAGATATATTGTCCAATATAACACCTGCACTTCAAATCTCCATTCCATGTCATGGTATTTTGGTAATTTAAATCCAATATTCTTAAGTGTATCTAATATTTCATCTTTTTTAACATTATATAATTTACTTAATATAATTTCCTGCTGTTCTGAAAAACCTAAAGATATTATAGAATCTCTAAAATCTTCAGAGTTTAACTGAAAAATTTAAATATTTAATTAAATATTTTATAAATTAACAGAAATATATATAAGTCGTTACAATTTATATTACCTTATATCTACAACTCTCTATTAATAAATTAACAAGTCCTTCAACTGAATTTTTAATTAAACTTACTTCAATTTCTAATTTTTCTGAAAATCAATAATAGTTAAATCAATAATACAAAGAATTTTTTCTTTGAACTATTAATATAAAAATACTTACGAGCTGCTGCATTATATAATTTAATATTTGGTCCTTTTTGCAAATAATCTAAAGCTAATTTGCAAAAATCTTGTAAAACTAAAAAAAATATATATAAATATATCTGTGATTATTTTAAAATGAAATCAATCGATAAAATTTTACATACCTTGCGGTGTATAATCTGTAAGAAGTAATACATGTTTCTTATGATCTGGTTTTAATGTTAATAACATGTTTTATTTTATTAAAATTAATATTGTATAATTATTTGTTAAATTTCATATATAAATAACAAAATTTTTAATCTTACAATTTACAAGCAGTTGTCAAACCGCCATATTTACAATATACTTAAGACTAAAGTATCGATTTATGTTTGTATCTATAAAAATGAAAATTTATATTATGAGAATTAATAAATATTTAATTTTTATTTATTCTTTCATAAAAATGGAATTTATAATATTATAATTAATGAACTATGGAATGTAATATGTTTAATATAAATTGTTATTAAGATATTTAATAGAAACACATAATGTTAGGTTAAATGATTTTAATATAAATTTTATACAAATTTAAAAAAATATGTTTAAAAAAATATGACTTAATATTATTTTTAGGTTTTATTTATTATTATTATTATTATTATATTATTATTATTATTATTATTATTAAATAAATTAAGTAATAAGTGCTTCACAAGAAATTTATTAACAAATTTAATTAGAAATAAGAATAATCACATTTGTGATTATACAATTTTTTTTGTTCTCTGACATTGATATAACAAAAAGCGACAACGCTGTAATTATTTCATATGAGAAATTATGCTTTTGGTTGAGAAAATGATGCCTTTATTTGAGCTTGTTGAAACATCTGTTGATATTTTTCCAATGTTTCACGATGTGTATCTTGTTTTTTATCTAATGTAGTTATCAATTCCTCCACTCTTTTCCTAAAATTATAATATAATTATATTAAAAAATCATTTGTGCTCGTCTTATATATATAATAATATTTTTCTTGTTTCTCATATTTAATTCATAAATATATAATTAATAACTTACAACTCAGAGGAGATATATTCCATTCGTTTAGCAACATTTTGTTTTGCTTCTTCTACATCCTGTTTAATGAGAACTGGTCCAATTAATTTAAAAACATCATCTTCTGATTTTAAGAGATCTAATTCTTTTTTTACAGCAATATTTTCATTTAATTGTCCATCCAACTGCTGTCTTTGACTCAATGCTTTGTGGAAATCTGATACAAACAGAATCTATGTGTGTACAAGGCAGTTAATTAATTATAATTGCATAACATATCATAAAAAATATAATTTATATAAGAAAATCAATAAAATACCTTTTTGAACTTGTTTATACTTGTCTAACTCTGTTTTTAAATTTTTTTGAATTTCTTCTGTCATATTTGTCTGAAATAGAAAATTATTAATATATTAATATAATAATAAAATAATAATTATTTAATAATTAATTATAATAATATAAAATATAAATATCCGATTACATTCTAAATATTAAATATATTTATTATAATGAATGAGCAAATATAATTTTCCTAATTCATAAGGTTCATTACAATTGTCTTGTATTTTACTAACTTTTCATTTTAAACATATCATACCATATTGGGATAATGTTCCGTAACAATCTTTTCCACGAATTGTAATATTTGTTAACAAAAAATAAAAGAAGTAGAAAATTTTATAAAGAATATCGGTATTCTTTCTAATTAAATTTGCTTAACCTATTTTATTTTAAGCCTTTTTAATGTTGACTAGCTTAAATGTGTTACAGATATACTCCACCAGTATATATATATTATTCAATACATATCCTAAGATATAAATATAGTTAATATCAAAATATAAGCACAATAGCAATATAAAATTATTTTTTATTTTATTAACAAAAAATAAAATATTTTACATATATTTTAAATATATATATATTTTTTAAATTATATAATTTTATAATTTTTATTGTTTTAAATTCCCTAGATTATATTTTACAATAATCACAAGATGGTGACACTGCATCACTGTATACAATCATATCTATCATATCTAGTTAAATTATATTATATCTTACATTTAGTTGATTAAACAAGTGTTGCTTTTATACAAATTAGAAAAATGGAAACGATTCTAGAACAACAACGACGTTATCACGAAGAAAGGGAAAGATTAATGGATGCAATGGTCAAAGAAATGCTTTACAAAAAACCAGGACATAGAGAAAGCATAAATTCAGAACATCGGTTAAAAATGTTACTTGATCAGTATATGGATAGTACTTCGCATTTACAGGATTTATATGAAGATAAAGATGGTCAAAGAAAAGAAGAAGTATGTTAAATCTTTTACAATATATTTATAATTTAATAATAATAAGTTTTTATTATATAGGTACAAGCACTTTCTGGGCCGAATGAATTTTCCGAATTTTATTCCAGACTGAAATCTATAAAAGATTTCTATCGTCGACATCCTAATGAAATAAGTATTCCAATGTCTGTAGAATTTGAGGAACTAGCTAAAATGAGGGAAAACCCAACAGAGGAACTTTCAAATCTTGTTGAATTTACAGATGAAGAAGGTTATGGCAAATATCTTGATCTTCATGAATGTTATGAAAAATATATAAATCTTAAAGGAATAGAAAAAATAGATTATATTACATATTTATCAACTTTTGATCATTTGTTTGATATACCAAGAGAAAGGAAAAATGCTGAATATCAAAAGTATGTGGAATCTTTATTAGAATATTTGATTGATTATTTAAGTAGAGTTAGACCTTTACTTGATATAAATGCAGAATTGGAGGAAGCAAGCAAACAATTTGAAACAGAATGGGAAAATAGTACATTTCCAGGATGGCCAAAAGAAACTGGTAGTGCTTTAACTCATGTAGGTGCTCATTTAGAACTTTCTGCTTTTTCTTCATGGGAAGAGCTTGCATCTCTTGGTTTAGACAGATTAAAATCAGCATTAATGGCTTTGGGTTTAAAATGTGGTGGTACATTAGAAGAAAGAGCTCAAAGACTTTTTAGTACAAAAGGAGAAGCATCTTTGGATCCAAATTTATTAGCTAAAAGTAGTAAAAATAGAAAATCTGGAAAGGGAAGAAATTCTGAAAAGCAAAAAGAAATTGCATATTTAGAATCTCATGTATATAAACTTGCAGAATTGGTATCAACTCAACGTGTAGCTACAAAAGAAAATGTTCAAAGAAAACAAGCCAGGACAGAAGGTGAGAGAGGAGATTCTGATGCTGAAGCTAGTGCTAGTGAATCAGAAGAAGAAGATGATAACGAAGTTCCTTATAATCCCAAAAATCTTCCTCTTGGTTGGGATGGCAAACCAATACCATATTGGTTATATAAATTACATGGCTTGAATATTAGTTATAATTGTGAAATATGTGGAAATTTTACATATAAAGGACCAAAAGCTTTTCAAAGACATTTTGCAGAATGGAGACATGCACATGGTATGCGTTGTCTTGGTATTCCAAATACTGCACATTTTGCCAATGTGACACAAATAGAAGATGCCTTAGCTTTATGGGAAAAATTAAAAGCTCAGAAACAAGCAGAACGTTGGCAACCAGAACAAGAAGAAGAATTTGAAGATTCTCTTGGAAATGTTGTTAATCGTAAAACATATGAGGATTTAAAAAGACAAGGTCTATTATAGATATATTTTTATCATATTACAAAGCATCATACATTTCATTTATATACTTAATATCTGTCTATTATTTATATTATCTGTAATATCATAAATAATAAAAATTATTTATATAAACTCTAAGCAGTACTTCTGAAATATTTTGATATTTATTCTGATAAATTTGAAGTAGAATGTATATTTGTAAATTATATTTAATAATTTATGTAAATAATTTAATCCTTTTAAATGTAAATAATTTAATTAATAAAAATTACTTTTTTTACTAATTTAATTATTATAAATATATATAATTATTATATATAATTATTATAAATAAAATTATTGAATAAAAATTTTAAAAATTATTTAAAGTTAAAATATAAAAAACACATTAAAAATAATACGCATTTTTATGAAAAGATTATAAATAATATATTTAAGTTATAAACTAAGTTTATATTATATATAAGTTTAAATTTCCTTTTTCAATTTAATTTAATTTCACTATCGTATTTTTAATATTAAAATTATATTTCTATTTTAAAAAAAATATACATCTTTAAACAAAACTTACTATTCATTAATTAAATATTCATTTATTAAACAGGGACTTTAAGATTCTTTAAATATTTCTTTGACCAATGAGAATGCAGTAATCTTATACCCAGAAATTATAGAGCGCGTGGTTTGCTTCATTTTCTAGAGATGAATACCTCTTATGTTATTTTATAACGTGTCTTGTAACCGAAACTTTCCGATTGTAGGTAGGAAATATTCTAATTTATTATCAATTTTCTTTGTGATTATATCATTTGTAATATCAATAAAATATAATTCAGAGAAAAATTTATCAATTGTGTAAATAATTTATATATAATTTTAAATGTATAATTTTAAATGTTATCATATCACATTGAATTCGATTAGAAGCACGATGTTTCAGCGACGTGATTAAAACCACGTGCTTCGAAAGACACATCATTTTTATAAAAATGATATATAACGTGAGCATTTATCAAAATAATTTTATTGTATTAATTTGTGTAATCATTTTAATAGTTTCATTTTTTTTTCTTAATAAAGGTAATTAAATAATTTTGAAAAAATATAAATTGGGAAATACAATTTTTTATTACTATCGTAAAGAGGCATGCTGAAACAGAATGACGGAATTCGTAGATGGTTGGATATTTGGACACACTCTAGGAGAAGGTGCTTTCGGCGAGTATGTTCATATATTTTTAATTTGTATAATCATGGATTAATTATTAAATGATTAAATATAAAATAAAAAATTTTCAGAAAATTAACAGTATTTTATATTATAACATTTTTATATTTTTTTTTCTTTATTATGATTATCACATGTTATTATCATTAAATTTGATTCTTATTTTCAGAGTAAAATTGGTTATAAATAAATCTACAGGTGAAGCTGTTGCTATGAAAATGATAGACTTAGAGAAGCATCCAGATGCCCATCATACTGTTCGTAAAGAAACTACAATTCATCGTATGCTCTCTAATCCTAATATTATACAGTATTTTGGAAAGCGTAGTGAACCTAACATGGAATATATATTTTTGGAATATGCTTCAGGTGGAGAACTTTTTGATAGAATTGGTAAGATATTATGTTTAATATTATAAATTATAAAATAAAATTCTATTGTTAATAAATCTATTCCTTTAATTAAAATAGAACCTGATGTTGGTATGCCAATATGGGAAGCACAAAAATATTTCAAACAGTTGATCTCTGGTATAGAATATCTTCATAGTAAAGGTATTGCTCACAGAGATTTGAAACCAGAAAATTTGCTATTAGATGAACATGATAATTTGAAAGTTTCTGATTTTGGCATGGCAACAATATATCGTTTACAAGGCAAAGAACGTTGTTTAGAGAAAAGATGTGGAACATTACCATATGTTGCCCCAGAAGTATTATTACGTCCCTATCATGCAGAACCAGCTGATATATGGTCATGTGGTATAATTCTTGTTGCTTTATTGACTGGAGGTAATTTTTATAGAAAAATTTATTTAAGATTATTGTTTAAATTATTTTTTAAAAATAATAAATTTAAATAGGTAGTGATTTAAATAATATTGTAATAAAAAAACTGTAAAAATATTGAAAATGTTATTTAATTATTCAATTCAATTGTAGTTACAAATATAACATACAAATTATTATCAATAATAATCAATGATCACAATTGTATTTGTAAAATGCAGATTGCTGTAATCTTTAGTCTGATGGTTTAGGTCTAATATGTAACTTACATTTCTTAGTTTTTAACTGGTCCATATCTAAACTATAGAACTGCCTTGGGATCAGTCCTTGGCAGAGTGTCCAGAGTATATGGCATGGAGAGATGGAAAATACATGTCTCTTACACCATGGAAAAAATTGGATAATTCTTCATTGTCTCTGATAAAAAATATTCTTATGCATTCACCACAATCCAGATTTACTATAAAGAATATTAAACAACATAGGTGGTTCATCAAAAAATTCCAGAAAGGTATGCATCAAAATATATAATATATAAATATATTTATATATCTTGTATAAATATTTTTTATTGAATAACATCTATGAAAAAATTCAGTAAGTAAGGTCAAACAAATATTTACTTCGTCAGGTACTGAGTGACTCTGAGTATATATTAAATTACTCAAAGCAGCTTGGTACCTAACTGAGTGGATATTGAATACAACAATTTTTGAAAAATAAAGTAAGTATAATAATTTTATTTTAATTATGATTATTAAACATTGAATAAAGATATTCAAATAAAATTAATGTTAATAAATATAATAATTTTTCAAGACTATCAAAGCTTTTGCCTTTACTTTGGTAATATAGCTCTATGATTTTAATTAAGGATCATAAAGCTAGATTACCAAAGCAAAGAGCACTAGCATTATACATCCAAATAAAATATTAAAAATTTCAATTCATAAAAAAAAATATTTATATTGTTATTAATTTTTCTTTACTTTTCTGTGATTTAATTTTGTTTATAAAGTATATAAATTATAAGCATGTGTGTAAATGATATAATAAAAATCTTGTGTATAATAGCTGGCAATATAGAAGGATATATTCGACCTGATGAAACTGATTCGAGACAGATAATAGAAGACGAAAATTTAACACGATTTTGTTTATCGCAACCTGAATTACCTGCGATAGAAAATACTAATACAGTGGAAATTAATTTGGAAGAACGGCCCGGATTTTCATTTTCGCAACCTGCACATATAGAAGATTTATTGTTATGTACACAAGTACAAACGAAACAATTTACTCAAACAAGTCAAGTAATACATTTTTTATGACGAATATCGATATATATCAAAAATATTAATAATTTATAATTCATAATTGAATATTTTATAGCAAAATACTTTCCAACGATTGGTGCGAAGAATGACAAGATTTTTTGTTAAAACAGAATTGGAAACAACTGTGAAAAGATTAATAAATTGTTTAAAAAATGAAAATTATACATATCGCATTAGTAATTTTGGCACAGTAAGTTACAAAATTATTCAAATCTGAAATTATCTTATATATTACAATGTCAATTAAGATTATAAATAATTAATTTGTATAATTATCTTTTTATAGATAACTATATCAGGTGTTGATAGAAGAAAGATGCCTTTAGTTTTTAAAGCAAATATTGTTGAAATGGATGGAAAAATATTAGTTGATTTTCGATTATCTAAAGGTTGTGGTTTAGAATTTAAACGAAGATTCGTAAAAATTAAATCTTTATTAGAAGATATTATATTAAAGGGTCCTGTTACATGGCCAATTGCTGTTGCAACTGAATGCATACCTTAATTATGTATAATTAAGTTTTTTTAATAAATTTTTTTATATCCTTTCAAAAACGAGTTTTATTCTATTTTATATATTATGCTAGCTAAATGAGATAGATTTAACATGTAATAGAATTTTGTATTTTATTAAAATACAGATCATGTTATATTTTTGAAAAAAAAATGAAAATATATTCAATGACTTCATATTATTGATTTTTATTAAGAACAAAAAATAAGAAAAATAAACTGTAGAATGACAGAAATAGAATAAAAATATGGAAATTAGTGCCATCTCCAGAATACTGTAAATGAAAGTCAATATACAAGGATAGCAAATAGTAAATGAAAAATAGAAATATAAGAATTGATTTTGGGTACCATCTTTCGAATGTTAAATAAACATTATTTCAAAAATAGAGTAAGATATACTATGAATTGAGAATTTTACTTTATCTTATTTTATCCTACTTTATCTTTATGAAGATGTTTTTAATATCCAAAAATGATGCTATCAGTCAGTTTTTATCCTGTCTATCTTTCTATTCTTACTTTATGTTTCATTTGCGATACTCCAACATTGATTTCAATATTTCAATATATTTTTATCTTATCTTTGTTCTTATCCTATTCTTTTCTCTTGATGCATAAATGGTTAATTGAACATACTTTTATCATTTTTTTTTCAAAACTAAAATGTATTTTAATCTTTAATAAAAAATAATCATATTTTTCAGTTATATATATATATATATATATATATATATATACATACATATAACGTATAGTTAGCAATTGTTTTTTTTAAAAAAAATTTTGATTTATTAAAGAATTTTTATACCATTGATGTATGCAATATATATTTATATTTATAGGCACACTAGTACACAATAATTAATAATTAACTAAAAATCATTATGAATATAATATATATATATATATATATATAAAATAATAACTTGATATAATATACTTTGAATGATATAATTAATATAAATATAATTATGTGTAAAATGTGCAATATTTCATATAGGATTATGGAAAAAATATTCCATAATTATATTTATATTATAGGATGTTCCATTTATAATTTCATATTGAAATTTAGTTTCAATTTCAATCAATTATAATATTGCAATCTTCTAATTCGAATTAGTAAGTTAAGAATAACACTAAATAATAAGAAAAGAGATCCCAGTGCCTAAAGTATGGAACAAAAAATATATTAAATGTTAAATCTATTTTATATAACGCTTGCTGATAATAATTAAAATTTTTATTATTTTCTATATTAACAATTAAAATGCGAAAAAAATGTTTTAACTATTAAACTTGTTATACGTATGTTTCGTCTTTAAAATTAACCTAATTCAAATGTTTTTTTTCATTTTTAATTTTTATGAAAAAAAATTTTCAAAATATTTTTTATAATAAAATATTATCAACATTCATATTGGAATTCATATTGATATTACTTTTCTAATAAAAATAATATCGTATAATAAATATCATATACTATCACAATAATGTATATTACGACAAATACATATTTTGTATCAAAAAATTTTATTATTCATACATTTTATGGTGAAAAAACTGTTTTTTGTTGGGATCAAAATAAACTTGTAATATTTCCATATATGAATAACAATTATATATCTGCCGAAGTTTTAACAGCTCCAGCTCCAATAAAAACTATACAATGTTTTTCTGATCGAATTTTTTTAATTTGCATTCCACGAGGTATTTATAAACTTTCGAGATATCGAGAATTTGCTATTCTTAGTAAAAATGCGATTGGAATGGGTACAGTTTTTTATGAAGTATTAATACCAAGAAACGAATATCTTTATTTGGATAATAAACGAGAAATGACTAATAAAGTGTTATATCAACTTTCTTCTAAGGAAATTGATTCCAGCATGTTATGTATTTATCCATTAAATATAAATAATGTTGCAGAAGATTTTATGAAAGCTTTAACAAATAATGATTCTACCATAGAAAATTTATGTATAGTTGGTGATAAACTAAAGATTTTAACATTAATAAATGAAACTATACAAATAATACATAGCAGTATCTATTTTATTAGAGATATAATACCTATACGAAAGAATACTAAAGTTGGTGGATTATTTTTTATTACTACTACAAATGCTATTATTATAATGTATTCACAAGATAATTCACTTATTTTTGAAACAATTTATTTAAGAACACAAATACAAACCATTTGTGCTGGTTTTAGTGATTTGACAGAAGACACATTATGGATTGTTTATTCATATGAATCTAATTTATATTATGCAAAAAAACAATTATTGACTGATAATATTCATCAAATAAAAATTCAAGATGAAAACTTTACTTGTTTACAATCATATGATTCCAAGATAATCTTAGGTTTAACAATAGATAAGCAATTAACAGAACTTTCTATAAATACTGTGGAAAAAACATTATTAATAGAGAATGATACTTTGATTAATCTTCATTCTAATATGTTAGAAAATGCTACATTCATAATGGATAAAATTTATAAAGGAGCTCAAGAATTACAAACATTGAATGAGATATTAACAATAGAAGAAGATAAATTGAAAAGAATAAATTTATATGCTCATAAACATAAGGAACAATTATATCCAAAAATAATAATTAATTACATAGATAACCAATTGTTTTTGTCAGCAAATTTTCATAATATGTTGCCAAAAAATAGTTGGGTTGTTCTTAATGTCAAGTTGCAATGTCAAAATCTATTTTGCATGAAAAAAATAGTAGATCAGGAGACTATAGTTGATATTTATATACCTGAAAATTTAACAATAAATTTTTCACAAATTGTAATAGACTTAGTAGCTTTTAAGGAAGAGAAATATCCTTGGTGTCTTATAAGAGATTATATAATTAATCCTTCTCTTGAACAATGTAAACATAAAAAAAGACGATTAAATTCTAATTTTATCAATTCTAAAATTGTTATGCTTCAAACTTTTATACAAGAAGGAAATATTAATATGAAGAAATTATCTGAAATTAAAAAGAGTTTAAGAAAAGAATTTAATGATTAAATGATTTAAAATTTACTATTTTACAATGTCTTATCAATAACAATATATTGAAGTATATGTTATTAGTAGATCAAATTAATAAAATATTAATTTATTAACTAAAATTAGTAAAAAAAAATTTAATAATTTGAAAACAAAATTGTATCTTTATTTAGAATATAATATGTTGGTAAATATTTTGTTTTTTTCTCTTTTCGTATACATATTTCTATTAACATGCATTGATGCATTATTCTATAATTATACAATATATATAGATTATACAATATTGTTGAAACTACATATAATGAAATTACATATGATTTTCCCGCTATACACCAATATAAAATGTATTAATTTAATTGTAAACGTATTAAAATAGCAATTGTTTTTTTTAAAGAAAATTTTGATTTATTAAATAATTTTTATATCATTGGTGTATGCAGTATACATTTATATTTATAGGCACACTAATATATAATAATTAATAATTAACTAAAAATTATTACGAATATAATGCATGTAAATAGTTGTTATTTTAAACTTTTTTTTTCATATTCTTAAATAAAATTTAAATCTTTATCATAAGATAGAATTGTAAATACAACTTAAAGTTATTATAATTATAAACACATCGTTATTAATTAATTTTTATAATAAACTTTAAATATAAAAAAATTTTAATAAGTACTTTAAATATTGATGTTAAATAAAATGCATAATGAAACTAAATGAACTATAAAAATGTAATGTTTATTTTAAATTAAAAACAAAATGTTATTAAGTATTGGAGAAAAAAAATAAGCAAAATGATAAATGCTATAAAATACCTGATTATTTATAAAGTTATTAATAAAGTTATGCATTTTCTAAATATTAACATTAATTATAACATAATATACAATATGAATATATAGATTTTAAAATATATTTTAAATTACGTTATATATTTTATATTAATGAAAAATATTTCACAAAATTTCGAGATGCAAACGTATTATATAAAATTGTTCAAATAATAAATATATTATTATGTAAAAAATAATCTGAATAATTTTTTAAAATCTGATACTATTCTAAAATGAATATTTTTTTGTAATGAAAATATCTTAATAAAAGATATATACATTTCATAATTTAAGATATTATTTTTTTATTCCATTTTTCAAATAATTAATATCTATAAATAATGATAATAATATTGCTTTTAAATTTGTCATACATCTTTGAAAATTATTTAAAACAAACAATATGATTTTTAAGTTTAAAAAATTATATGGCAGTAATAATTTATCTATTAAATCTTAGAGAGGAATAAATTGTGATTTAAATAAAGAATTATATTCTTAATTATTTATATGGTAGACTTGTTCTACATTTCTTAGATTAAATATGTTAATTAATTTCTTTACAAAAAAAAAAAATTTTTTTATTATTATATTTAATTTTTTATAAGTTTAACAACTTATTACATAAATATGATTTCTTTATTAAAGATATCTTGAAATAAAAAAAATTTCTATCAAATATTATTCCAAACTATTAATTTAATTGTAATTTATAATATGTAAAAATTGAATATCTTTTTTTAAATATATTTTTTGTAAATTTATAGAAAATAATATTAAAAAAAAAAATAAAGATATACATTAAATATTATTGTTAAAATATCGAACTTTTTAAAATTCATTATTTTTTTTGAAGATTGTACCTTGGCATTATTATTAAACATATTTTCTTGAATGGACACAAATATTCACATTATAAACGAAAATTTATGAAAAAATAAATTTCTATTTAGAACTGAATGATAAATTAATAATATTTTTACTAAAATAGTAAATAAATTTAAATGAACATAACATGAATTCACTCTAGAAATTATATCTATTTTCTATTAAAATGCATTTTGTTAAACACGATTAAACATAGTTTATAAATTTTTTAAGGCACTGAATAAAAATACATAGTATTTTTATACTGAGGATTTCAATTCATTACAAATGGGAACAACAT